ATGCCCAATTAAATACTTGTGCTCATTCAAAAGACAAGGAATGTCACTTCTTGGAGCACTGGGCTACTACAAATCGCCCATGGCCCTCTTGCTATGCAGGTTCATTTTTATCAGTGTACCGCATTGGGGTTGATTTACTAAAGGAGTAGCAGATGTCTACCTAGAAAAGTGAATGTTAGTGATCAAGATGTTCATTTCAATTATCCAATCACATGCTAGCGAAAAATCTCGTTTTGTATATATATTTCCTTGCACATTATTCAGTATTTAAATTGTCCGTAGGTTCTGCTTATTCACTTTCATTTTGCTGGGTGATCAGCCCTTTAGTCAATCATCCGTCATGTGTTGTACAGCAGGCCAATGATCTCTTGTGATGCTAGTGGAGCAATCAGACGTTTCCTGTGTAGCTCTAGCCTAAAGTCCTTGCTAAACCAAGAAAGGCTGCATCAGCCATCCTACCCATGTTCCATGTACTGTATTCTTATTTAAAGCAGGCCAAGGTATACTGCCATCAGCTCTCCTGGTAGCATGGTCCTTCCAATGTACTCTCCTCTATACAGCCATTTGTGGGCTTCTCAGGGCTGGCGAGTCACCTGTATTCTTCCTCTAGGAAACTCAGCAATATTTTTTTAGTGCACCATTAACAAGTGCTTTTTTTTGTCATGAATGATCTACATGTTTACACACAGACAAATGAAGAGTTCGCAGTTTTTTTTTAACCTGTGTTTTTTGTATTATAATTGACTGATGGGAGAATTTGTTTTTGTACTTTTAAGTGTTCTTATTTACAAGTAATGTAAGAAAAAAAAACTTACTGCCAAGTATTATTGTACCAAACTAATGTAAGTTTTTCACATTTTTTAAAATAAAATGTTTAATTATGAAAATGTACACATTAAGCGTTTTTTTTATTTATTTGTATAAGTTATTATACCTAGCAGACTTGGGCGAATGATTATATAATTCTATTTTTATATGTGACAAGGAAGAATAAGTATACGTTTAATATATAATAACAGATTGGTGAGGATTTCCAAGAGCCGCTTAGAGTTTATGGTAAATTGTTGAGTTCAGTTGAAGAGGGAAAATAATGTTCATTATCTCTGTAATTTTTATACTGGTACTTTGTGATTGACCTTGGTTCAATGAAAGGGGCAAATAATGCAGCAAACTGAGAGGTATGCAAGGGTGACAAACAATGATAAGCAGGGAAAATTATAGTAATACTTCATATGTTTAATACATCGGAAATCTTCCCTTCACCTTATTTCCTTTTATGTAAACTTCACTATAACTACTAGGCCTTTCCCGTCTAAGCACAGTTTAATGTAATTTGGCAAATATGTAATTATTGTTCTGTTTAAAATATAAAAGTGCG